AAAGTATCAAAAATACTCAGTATTTTACTGAGTATCCAATCACTGGTTTGTGTATATGTTAACTTTTTTGATTTCAATATCATATAATTTTGTTAATGGAACTAAATAAAATAGATTTTCCTTTTGTTAAAATCTTCGATATAAAATATATCTCTTCCTACTATTGTTGCCATCGATTTCATATGTTGTTATTTTACATACTGTTTATCCTATGATATCTTTAATGATAGAATTGTTCGATGATAATGGAATATCATATGACTTTCGACATAAACTAGGCATATCGGAATTCAAACCATTCACTTTAAAATAATTTTCTCAATTATTATAATAAACGTATGAACAATCCAATCGTATACTTTTATTAAGTCATATTTAACAAATAGAATTTCAAGACGAATGAAGAAAGTTAAAGAATGCTTCCATGATTTTGAATTTTTTGATTATTTAAATGATCTATGATAGAATTTCTTCTACTGCATAAATTTCTCAAAACATTCTATTTTATGTTGTGGTTTTTTCTTACTAAACAATTGAAAACAAGGAATGAAATTTGATTCAAAATATCGGAGCTAAATACGGTCTCAGTGATACTCATAGAATACCTACATAGTGAAATACTTGAATAATGCCTTAAGTATTCAATTGATTGTCGACGGACTAACATTAATATGTTGCAAAATATTTGTCTAATTTAGTTAGATGCCAATATCAATAAATAAAACAATATCGATTGCTGCAATATTATGTCAACAAAGAAGTTATCCATGAATCTCATTCTACAATCAATCAACAATAGTACATTCGAGAGTAGACACGTTGTCATAGCTAACAACCCATAAATCACGAAATCAATAAATTTGATCAACATGAATTTTTTCTGAGAGTGGGTCTTTAAGTTCTAAAAATAGGAACTGTTACAATGATATTTAAACTATTATTCAATAGACAATAAATTACAACATCGTTTATTAAGATAAAAAGATTTCAATTAAAGACAATATTGAGACTCAGGACAACGATGCGGGACTCCGACCTTGTGATGTCCTGACTGAAATTTGCAAGAAAGACATCCGAATATGGTAGGAACTTGAAAGTAGTATTATGATGATCGTATTCAATTGTCGACTATTAACCACGAAAACTCGGCCATTAAATTTGAGCATCGTATTCCTGCTTTCAGCTTCCAACCATTTTTCACACTCTTCCAGACGGAATTGACCGTGCATCATTTATCTGAGACATATATGTACATATTCATACATAACATCGATTATTTACAAACAAAAAGTACAACAGATATTATATGCTTAAATATTTTTGTATAAATTATTTTCAATAAATGATTAATATTTCGTCCGAGTTTCATGAAGTCGAATATGTTGAAGTGTTGTTGCATATTGCATTACAGTTACTGGAGTTTGACGTATATTGAATATACGTTTTATTTTTGCTTTAAATTCTTTACGAAAAAATGTTGAACTAAGACAATGAATATAGAAACTGACCTAAAAATAAAATATACAAAATATTGAACTCATATTAAAATTTATGATAATATTTACTGCATAAAAAAGACTTTGAAACCATTTCAAATATGCCCAAATAGATATTATCTGAAAAACATTGAATGACACAAATGCTTGTCGTGGTGAGAGTATTTTATAAATTGCCAATGGAAGAGAAGTAATCAGAAAAATACATATACTTGCAAACATAAGAATAAATATATGTTTTTGAAGAGTATTTTGTTGTTTAATATTTCTATTATTGCAAGCAAATTGAACTAGTTGAATAACTGCTTGTTTACGAGCACGAACAATAATAAATATATCGATAAGAATAGTCAACATTATAGCAACTGGTATTAAACAAGTCGTTAAGATCTAAATTACAAATATTTGAGATTTTCTTCATTTAGTTAATAAAAAAATAAGTCTATTAAAAATTATTTTGTCATTTATAGCTGAAGAAAATTTTCCACTACAATTTCATTCTGAATGTTAACGAGCGCGTAAAGAAAAGATTTATAATTAACAAAAATTTTTTGATTATGTAGATTTTCTACTTACTTGAACTATACTCCAATTTAAAAAGTAGAATAAGAAGTATGAAATGCTTGTTATAGTGGGTCCACATGCTGCAATTGAAAAGCCAGGTATAAGCGTTCCAAACATAGGAGTTAACATATGAACATGAAGAACAATATCAATCACAAGTAAAACACCTACAGCAATCAAAGCTTTCTTTGGTGTACATATCAAATTTGATTTAAATGGAAATCGTGTTCGAATCCACCGATCAATAGAAACTATTACTAATATCCATGCTGATGAAACTTGAGTTACATTCATTATAAATGAACGAAATCGACAAAGTTCATCATATGCAACATGACTATAGAAACGAATCTATTCATAAAAAAAAAAAAAGAAAAAGAAAATTTTTTGTTTTGTAGAAATGAATTTTAATTACTTTTAAACCAAATTCTAGAAAATCAAAGATACACATAAATAAATATAATATATCCGAAATAGCCAAAGTAATAAAGAGACAACCAGTTGATACTTTTCGTAATGTTGGTTGTGAAAATGTAAATAAACTAGCTATATTACCAGGAAAACCAAGTAAAAATGTAAATAAATAACCAATTTGATAAATTCGAATAACTGCAATTGGATCTTGAAAAAATAGAAGTAATTGCTCCTGAGAGAATGTTGTTGTTGTTGTGTTTCTGTTAGATATTATTGGTGTTGTTGTCATACTCATTTTTAAAACCTAGAAAAATAAATGAAGCTGGAATAAGTAGCAATATATATATAGCGTATTTTCATAAGTCCTGAGGCGTAACAAAATTAATTTAAATATCGATAAAGAATAAAGCCTACTTAAATGTTTTTATATCAGTTTTGTGTACTCTCGTCACTCTGTCATATTATGCGATAATATCTTCTCTTGTAATAATAAAAATATAAACATGAGAATAAATTTTTTGCTATCAATCAACAGAATATATTTTATAAATTCATATATCAATCAAATTATAGAAAAATCTCATTTGAATATCACGTATTTGTTTGTCCAAAACTTTTAATTAATTTGTCAAGTCTTTTTTTTATCGTTCTTTGTTCAATCTAATTCTCTTCTACAATAAAAGATCCCGAGCCTTGTATTATATCGCATATATTGTGATAATTTTTAATTAACTTTTTGAGTTTCAAATTATTTCTACTGAATTAAATTGAAGCGGACTATTATATTAACTTATTTCAGACACAAAAATACATAGCATTGTGATTTAATTAATGTAAGCTTTTATTGAATTTTGCTATACTTGAATGGAAATTTTAATTAATTAAAATTTATAGTTGTGATGCATGTAAATATTTTTCTTTTAGAATTACAATAAGGTCACATTATCAGAAGGTCATAATAGTTCAATAAACTATTTTTTATGTTTCTCTTATGAATAAAAACTTTCGGGGTTGGCCAGAAGTAAGTTTTTTTTTTCATTGTAGATCGATAGTTACATTTCATATTTGAATCACATATCTTAGATGACAATACTAATATCATCAACCTTTGTCTGTAAGAGTTTGTTGAAAAGTATACGAATATCTCTCATACACTATTATATGAATGTTATGTAAGCCATCAGATACTGTCTGATTGAAGTCAATATCTTTTTTTTTTCGTTATATTGTCATTTTTTGAATAGTTCTCTACACAACGAGTCTAAAACACAATGCAAAGATTAATAGACTTCGAATTATCTGATATATTTTGATGCAAATAAACCAAAAGATAAAAATATAATAGTACCAAAAAAACTACAAACTTATGTAACAGCTATATAAAAATGCATGAAAAACATTCCTATGTTTTTTCGACAACATCTTACAGTCAAAGGTCGATAACAGGCTCTTTTTCTGAGTATTTTTATCTAGTATATCTGATCCAAACATTAGATTTAACTATGAGTCTATAAAGAAAAAACGTTGAAAACAATTCGATATTTTCTTTCTTTTGACTCATTCTATATTACCTGAAAGTAAATTTCTACAAAGTTTTTATAGACAGCATCATGAAAATATATCTGCTATTAATTGATATATTCTCCATTGCTTCATTCCAAGAGATTTCGTATTCAGTATTACAAATTATGTTATGAAAAATAAATTATAAAACATGTGTAACATTTTTGCTACTATGGGACTTAAGAAGATTTCTTAGAAAATCGAAGCAATTTTGAGAATAGATTTTTAAAACTCATGCATAATATTGAACTCATTGTTTCGAGATTTTCAATTCAAAACTAGGTATATTTTGATGTAAATATACTAATTAAATTTCCCAGTTTTCGAAAAAAATAATTAATTAAGGAAGGTCTTTTATTGTACGAGGGAGGGGGGGGGGGGGGGGTAGTTTTCATTTGTTCAAAGCTTAAAAATTGTTCTTCTCGCATTTTGTCTTTTAATATTTTCAGTAGACCAATAAATCAGCTAATTTAGCTTTATCTCCTTGAGATAAAATTCGATTATTAAATAATTCATCAATAGTTCAAGAAGTACAATCTTTATTCTTTTTATTTTGTTCTGCACACAATTTTCTCATATATTTTATCTATTTCAATTGAGTTATTGAGTACATACCTTCGCTGAACATGTAAACAATGGATCGTAATGAGCTTCAAATAAGCGAATAAGATAAATATCTACTAAGCTATGTTTTAGGTAGAATTGTTCAGCACTTTATTACCAAACTTTAAAAAAAAAAAAATTTCACATTGATTGATTGCGAGAAATTTATTTTCGCATTCTCATGTTTCTATTTTTCTTATTATAAGAGAAGGTATTATCTAGTAAAAACGTCATGTTAAAGAGTGATGCAATTGCCTAAGGCTCAGATAAACAAAACTTCAATGAGATGTTATTGTTAATATGCATATGAGCTAATTTTGTCTCATCTCAAAACTTATAAAACACCTTGTATAACCTTGTCTGCTTTTAATAGCATCTTACGTAGATGCAAAAAAGCTTTAGAATATTAAGTAGATTAAAATACGTTAATTGATATCGAAAGATTTCTATAGCTAAATATAAAAGAATTATGAAGATAAGCTTCATTTTGGCATTTATGATTTGATATCAATAAGATGATTAACTTAAGTATCATATTGTTTGTGTTCAAGAACATTTTTACCAGAATGTAACAAACAAAAATATATTCTAGAATTTTATTTATAACTAAGTTTTTTGACTTGTAGATCATATTGTATCGTATATTTTAAGGAAAAAATAACTTTCGATGCAAATAATTCAAAGTAATATTAACAACTGATAATTATTTTCGCATTAAAAGATACCGACGATCTAGAACAACAAAAAAAAAAAGATTAGCAGTTTCGATTTTTTTTTTACGATATATTGAATGTATGCAATTTAAAATAGAAGATTGTGTGGGGCAATGTTGGAAATTATTATTATTATCATAGAGAAATTGTATGGCTGCAAGTTTATGATAAAGTTACTAGGAAATCTCTGTCTTGGTTGGTAGTCTTTAAGGAACTCCTTGATGATATTTTTATGACAAATTGATTAGAATTATTCATTCATTAACTTCAAAAAAATTATAGATTAATCGTAATAAAATCACCGATTTTAATGATATCGGAAGTAACATAAAAATAAAAGTTTCCAAAATAACAGCTTGCAGTCATTTTTCTATAGTTGAAATCGACCTAACTCTTCAAAGATAATCTATGTGGATGAATGCTTTATGCCATTGTGATAAGGTCATCGATTCTTACAAGTTGGTATAAAGTCGATCGAAAATAAAGACTCATACTTTGAAATCTTTTCTCATTAGATAATGTTATAAATGTTAAAAGAATTGATTAACAAGATATTCGCTTATTGACTTGTTTCATCATTATCTAAAGTCAAGATATTGAAAATTATATAAGATTGAAAGGAACGATACGATGTTTTTCTAAATCTATTTACATAGACAATTCTTATTATTACTATATTTATCTTTGATGTTAAGCTGTTATAATCCATCTTACGTTTTTCTACTAATTTGCGACAATATTTATTCTATGCATAAACTTTTCATGATTTGACTTAACGGTATTAGGACAATTTGTCTCAATGACATAATAATCATATCATTGCGACGAATTGTCCGATTACCGACTTAACATTAATTGCGAGATTTCATCAGTCATCTTCAAATTTCAAATAGTAAATTCAGTTTGATTTAGCAACATATATACTTCAGAAATATGATTGTTTCAAAGACATTTCAGTTCGATTTTCAATGTTTATTTCAAAAAAAAAAGTGCTTAAATATATTCTTAAACTTCAGAGAAGATATTTTCAATATTTGTGAATGCTCCAAATAATTCTTCTATTAGAAATAAATTTTGACTGAATTGTAGTGATTCATGAAAATACGTTAAAACTTGATCAATATGATGAGAGTTCTACCCAAGCAGATAGGATTTTTTGACTGCCCTAATTCCAGTTCTTGTTTAAACGTTTCCTAGTCTATTCAACGAAAAAAAAATCTTCCAAGTCAATTGTATATGTATCATTTGTTTGTATTCAATAGCCATGGCCTGATGGTCTAATGGTATGATTCTCGCTTTGGGTGCGAGAGGCTCCGGTTTCGATCACCGGTCAGGCCCATTTAATTTTTATTTCGTCAAACAAAAAAATAAAAAATAAAAAGCTTTATTTCATCTTAATATTGTGTGTGTATGTTTATTATTATTATTATTATTAGTAAAGTTGATCTTATACAATGATGACAATTATCATCTTAACATTTTTCTTTTATTTCTAAAAACAATATGATTTGTTTTTTGTATTTAAGCTTTAACAGCATAAGTACGTTGTGGAAAAGCCCATTGTCGTCGTTGACTTTTTTTCAAACGAATTGATTTTTCCTTTGGTGTTAATAAACGTCGAATAGCTCGTGTTTTACGTTTTCGTAAATCTTTTGGTTTATATTTTTTACCATGATATAATGCACGTAAATTTTCTTTCGTTGTTTGATGCATAACAATAAGAACACGTGCAATAGATTTTCGTACATTACGAATTTTACCTAATTTTTGTGCACCACCACTACCTGTAACTTTACCAACACGAAGTGTATTTAATTCTTGACGTAATTCTTCTAATTGTTTTTGAAGTTCATCTACAAAATTAATAATAGAATATAAAGATTTTATTTTATAATTCATACCGGGCTTTTTGCCACGTAATTTCGAACATTTAACACGAGTCATTTTCTGATCGAATATCTAAAATTATATGAAAATATTTCATCGATGAAATAAATAAAATTTATATATAAATAAATTGCTTTAAAAAATGAATGATGACTCAATCTGTTTATTCAATGGTTAATATTGATTCCAATTCGAATAGAAACTCTTTCAATTTCTCCTTATTATAGACAAACGATTATTTCAAATAAACAAAAGCTCTAATTTATTTTTTTATAAAAGAATAATACTGATTTGTAGTATTCTGTATTACCAACAAAGTATTGAATAGATGCCGCACATATCTAGACATATATAGTCCCTTGCAAAAAGTTTATTATATAAAGCAACTAGCATCATAAAATATATACATATAATTATCCCCCTTGTTCGATATCTAAGAACAACACAAGTAACATACAAAAAAAAATTGCTAGTATAATATAATCAAAAAGAAAAATTGATCATTCAAAAAAAAAAGAAAGAATTTGAATAGTTTATGAAAATGCATTCTTGGCCGTTTCTTTAGCTGTTTGTTTAACAACTTTTCGAGCAATCTAAAAATAAAATAAGATGTGTAAGAAAAAAAAATTTTTATCTATTTTTCAAATTCTTACTGCTTTTGGACCGAGTCCTCCAACATAATATGCTGTTAAAGCAGTATTTCCAACTGCATATGCTGCATTCTCTGTAAAAAGTGATGCATCTTCTCCATATCTAAATAAATCAATATATAGTAATTTAAAAATAAATATTATAATTTCTTACTTATGTTTAACAACACCAATACTTTCATTAGCTAAATTTGTTGCTAAATGTTTTGCAGCATTTTCACAACTTTCATAAATAACACTAAAACCTTTACAAAAAAAAAAAAAAAGTTCCAAAATATAACAAAAACAATAATATAATTTACTTGTTAATCCAGCATGTCCAATACCACGTACTCCACTTAATTTAACTATTTCAACAGTACCATCAGGTTTTACTCGTTTTTCAATTTTACCAAAATTTGGTGCAAAAGTTCTAGCTAATGCAAGTGTCATAGCACCAACTTTTGACACTAAAAAAAAAATAAAATAAAATAAAATCTCAGACAATACAAAAAAAATATTTCATATATAATACATACCAACATAATTACTTGCTTTAACAGCAACACCTGATGTTGAACGTAAACCACGAGCAGTGACATGTAAACCTTTATTAATTTTTGTTGGTTCAGCATTTGGTACTAATTTATCATGAACATTTTTTGAAACTTGTCCAATTAAATTTTCAGCCATAACAACACCAGTTGCTAATTGTTTTGTTAAAAATTTTGTTCCTAAATTAGTTTTTTTTTTTTTTTGTATATTAAATTTTAAAAAGAAAAAAACATTTGAATCTTACCAGTAATAAGAGCTGCAGCAAGTTTTCCTGTTGATGTTGTTGTATCATAAGGTAATTCTTCTTCAATAGCAACTTCATCTTCTCCGATGATTTCAGATTTTTTACTAGTTGCTTCTTTTGTTTGACGTGAAACACTAGAGATTACTTCTGGTTTTGCTGCTTGACTAGTTAATTTACTAGTACCACTTGCAGCTGTTAATGATGCACCATACTAAATATAATTAAAAAATGAGTGAATATATTTAATATCAAGTTGTTTTGTACATCATACTTTACTTACTGTAGGTGTACCTTCTTGAGCCATAAAAACGGAAAGTTTAGAAATAATATCTTCGAAGAAATAACGAGCATCAGGTAGAACACTTTCATCAAACATAAGACCAACAAATTCACCTTTAGAAAATTAAAAAAAACAAACAATTCATTAAAATCAAAACAAAATATAAATATTTTCTTACCAACTGATGTATTATTTGGAAAAATATATGCATCATATCCTGTTTTAAATGCTGGTGATACATTTGGATGTAATGGATAAATCCAACTACCTAATTTTAATAATCCAGATGTTTCATCTCCTTCACTAAAAGAAATAAATTATTATTAAATCTAAATTTTTTTATAATAAATATACTACATACTTCATTTGAAAAATTGTTAATGGTAATGATTCTGATGTTGTTTGAATTGATCCATCTTTAGCCATATAAAAAAGTCGAGCACCTTCATCAAGTTGAAATAAAACTGTAGCATTGCTTTGTTCTTGTGTACCATTATCAGTTACAGGTTGAAATGCTGATGGATCTTCAAAAACTTGTTCACTCATTTCAGTTAAATCTTGTTCATACATTCTTTCTGGTACATGATCAGATAATTGTCGAACCATATTTTGATAGATTCCAGTTGAATCTGCTGATCGATTTTGATGTAGTGATGATTGAAGTAATCGTTGATTTGTATTACGTTTAATTGTTTGTAATTCATCATCAATAGCTGATGTACCTTCATGTGAACCAATTAATGAAATAACACGTTTATAAAGTATAGATGCTTCATCATATTGTTTATTTTTTTCAAAATTAGCTGCACGTTGTAAATATTCATTTGCTTCACGTTTAAGAGCGGTTGGTGTAGCTTCAGGACGTGGACGAAGTTTTTCAAGTAATGCACTCATCATTTTTTATTTGTATTTTTTTTTAAATTCTAGAATGAAAATGATTTCTTTTCAAAATTATATGTATATATATATATATATAAACAATGAATAATCGAGAAGATGAGTCTTATTTTTTCGAATATAATAGTGTTCGAAAGAAAGGATAAAAAAAATTGACGTGCATATTTATTGAATAGAACTCGTGAGTGTAAATGACACATGGATGAGTCATTCCATTCGTTGAATTTTATGAATAAGATGTCGCTATTCAACATCAAGGCTTCATTGTAAACAAAATGGTAGCATGACTCAGATTGAATCATACGAATTATTTGAATGAGTATGTGGGCTTTGTGTCAGTATCTATTGAATTATTCAATCATTGTATATCAAATTATGAGTAATATCATGTTAATCCTTTGATATTGGAAACGAAAATACCAATAAACTGTATCGGAGAACAACTGATGTGCTATGAAGACATACAATGTAAAACTCTTATTTTAATGTGTCACATTTCATATGTGTTAACATAAAGGATAAACGAAGATTTCTTTCAAAATCTATCATCTAGTAATATGATATAATTTATTTACAATTGATAAGTTTGATCTATTTTTATTTGAAATAATTATTTTGACACAATTGAAAAACATCTCAATTTGTAAAAGAATATTATCGTTGACTGAAAGATAAGACAAACTAAAAATGTACAATTTTTATACTAGAATTTCCTAGCTCAAATATCTAAATATTTTCTATTAAAACATGAACTAAAAACTATGAGCTATTGAAATTTTATGAGAGTCAGTTAAAAGTAATTCAGACTAAAATTAACTTCTAATATCTGGCTAACTTTTCATGAGCAGAATAAATTCATTCAACATGATCCGAGACTCTCATCATATAGTGACAAACTGTTATCTCCATAGGTTGAGTGTTTACAAGATATAAACAATAACCTGTAAAATTTCATTTTTTAAATTTAGATACAATATTCTGCTACATTATAATATAGTCTTTTTTTTTCGATTGATTTGGTTAAAAATCGATAGCAGTTTTAATTTTTGAAAAAATATTACTATAGACGAATAATATAACACTGTATCTCTCACTGTAGTGGCCATTTGTAGATCAATTAGAAAAAACTAAATAATGCATAGATTTTCAAAGTATGAAAAATATGTTTTATAATGAATTATCGATTGATAAAAACGAATTTCCAAAAGTTTGGCAATAGTTAGATGAATCGAGTTAATGTATGCATTATAAATCTCATCACATGAGAAGTTGAAATAATATTTAATGTCTTCAATGGTAATATAATACCTCAAAGAAAAATAGATGGTTATTTCACAACATATATCAAAAATACATTTATCGTTTCTCGATTAGTTTTTATGTATTCATCATTTTCAATACCATTGGATATCAGTTGCTTTTCTCCATTCAATATTATGGCTTCTCATGTTGTTCGATCCTTATTTTTCTACTACATAGTCATTTGAATAATCGAAATCACTCTTCGTTACTTTTGTATATATGATACATTCTTCTAACTAAAAGAAGATTCAGTATTGAAAGTTTTGACAAGTTAATAACATTTTATTCTTATGAAACTTTTGAAATTTATGTTAATTTTTTATATGATTATCATTGAAAATCAATAAATATTGAAAGAATATTTTTTTCAAAGCGACTTTGTAATGTGATTGTTAATCTCAAAATATGTATGCTTGCTTACTTACGTTAAATGTCATAAAGTTTTGATGATGATTCCACTTAAAACTACTTATTAAATTTCCTCTTGTGAAATCTTAGGAGATTCATTCTTACTTGAGAAAGTTCTTACTCAAGAATTTTGTTTTCTTTAGTCTTCGTAAGACTTTTTCTCAATCAGTTTTATATTTAAAATAAAACGTCAGTACTGTATAGAATGGATACCCCTCTATAATAGGACTTTCGGATCTATGGGTACCCCTATAGGGTAGCCCCTGAAGGCCTATGAGTCCCCTGTAGGGTGCTGATCTTGTCGTCCTTTAATCGCGATCCCTTTAGTCGTATCTTATTGCAATATTTTGTCTATATGAAGTGAGCCACATATTTTTGGCTAGCGTGTTTGGATCACTTCACATGACCTAGTAGTAACATGTTCGAGAAGAATTGAATGTTTTTGTCAAAACGTTAGTTTTAGAAAAATTCCAAAGAAGTTGAATTTTGTAGTTTTATAAATGAAAAAACCTAGAAGTGCACTAATAACATACCCTCTGCTTCTTATAGCATATTTCAATAATTGGGTATTTTTAGTGATCTCCTTGAGCTAAAGTGCTGCCAGTGTCATGATACAATTTTTCTCTTTGTCAGGAAATTTTCGTTTTTCTAGTTTGCAGTTTCAAACCATTCAATCTGTTAAGAAGTATTCAACGAGTAACAAGCATGAAACTTCCGATAATCATAAATTATATTATCTCTGATTTCATGACTGAAACCAATTTTTTCCTTGCAATTACCTAAGACAGCGAGTTCCATCAATACATTTTCATGCTGTCTCAATTGTAGACATATTTCATTGCAAGCTACATCTTCAAAATAAAACGTAGATAATTTCATTTTTTCTTAAACGGCACAGTCATATTTATTTTAGCTAACGAGGAGAACCGTACGAAGTGATGCATCACTTTTAAACTCATATTTTGATCATATTGAGAAGACTTCTATACTGGAATATCTCCAAGAGGATTCGTAACGATAGATCTTTTCTAGAAAACGATGACACTTTTGTTAGATTTTTATCATCGAACTGGGTATTAGAAGAAAAATCGAAGAAAGAATTTTCAACTAGAAATTTTATATATAAATAGATATCATTATCCTAAAAGTTTCATTCTAAATGATTGCTTCGCTTTAGAAATATTTATCGTGTAAAGACTTGCTAATTTTCTGACCATATCTAAAATTCAATTGATTTTTTAACATTGGACGTGGGTGAACAGAAGATCCACACCTACACACATCGAAATATTTCATGTTGACGACGTCTTCACGACCTCTATAGTTGATATTCTGTTTCAAAACAATTTGTTTGGTACCAAATTAGAATGAAAAAGAACCAGATGTTCAGCTCAATATCTGTATGTGAATGCATCTTTTTAACAAAATGACAAGAATAGAAATAAGGCAGCCTTTGAAACACACAACACATGAGGTGTCTGCAGCTCGAAATTCCAGCCAGATTTTTCTTTTCTCTTTTTTTATATCTGGTTCGATAGAGCTTGAGATCCTGATTAAGAAAAAAGTCTTTTGACTTTTATAAATAGTTTTTTCAAGTCGAAAAAATTCGAAAACTGAGACGATGTTGTTTTTTGCAAGAAAAAACACTGTTTTCAGTTTATTTGAAAATTTCTGCTCTGTTCATTTCGTCAGCCTCTTCGGCTATTTTTTTCAAACTTAGCGTTTAAAATTGAATAAAAATACTTTATTAAATCAAATCTGATCCTAAAACTCTGTTGATGGTGGTGGCCTAAACTAATTTCATTCGTATGTTTATAAGTCATTTCTGGAAACCTATCTAGTTTTTCTGTT